TTTTGTCCCGCACTTTCAACTCGGAACCCACAAAAGCTAGGCGGCTGAAATTTTGGCGCAGTGTTCTCCACCAGCGGGTGACGCGGCAAATTTAAATTCAGCCTTCCCGTACCGCGGATAACACGTGCAGCCCCGTGAAAGTTTTTTACGGATAAATTAAATCTCGGGAACCACGGAGTCTAGGAGGCTGAAATTTTAGGGTGATGACCCCCTACCCGCGCTCGACTTTACCTATTCAAATTCAGCGTCCCTGCACTCTTGAGTATCACTTAGGGCCTCGTAAAAATTTCGGCGGGTAAACTATTAACTCGGGAATCACAGAAAGATATTCACTCTTCAGGGTTTCGAATTCAGTTTTCATGCGTTGGTGCGTAAAATTTTTAACTATTTTCTAATGTTTGAACTATTTCTGCATAGACTAAAGTACAAAGCAGTAAAAATCATTAACAAGCAATCGTTCGAATTGCACAAAACGGCTAAATTGCACAAAGCGGATGATCGCACCGGCTAGTCTGGTGCACGTTGTTATTTATTATCATTGCTCCCTCGAATAGCCTCCTCTAGAAAACACCTGCATTCCTCAGGATACTTTTGCGCGGACTGTAAGATACCTCTCATCAGAAAGTTGACCAGCGCAAGGGCATGACCGAACCTCACAATCGCTACTGTTTATGATCCCTTTGAATTCACGTCGAGGCAAGCGATAAAGTATTTAGGATGTTTTCGTCCTCCGTTTATCTATTGTGCAGCCTCAAGAATAACTCCCAGCCAGCAGTACTGTATGCTGTCGGCTTAACGTCGTGATTGAATATGAATCGTCTCCACAGCAGTTAAAGTGTAGTTGGTTTCCGACAGTGCGTACAGACGTGTCGATGAAACGAAGGAACCAATGTGCGCCCCGAAGTGAGCCGGTAAAAGAGTGATAGTTTACTGTATGGAGCACTGATAACAGAATGAGTGAGTGACCACACAGTGACCAGTACTGATACACAAAAGTCAGTTGTGAAGGCAATCAGGCAATGGAAGTAGACGTACAGCACTAGCCGACACACATGGCCTCGGTTCATCGGATTGCCCGTTTGTCATGCGCAAATTTGGCTTTGACATACTTCTTCGCAAAGCCTTGCCGGTCCACAGCAAAAACCATCTAACGTCAGGCCCAGATCCAGTAATTCCGGAACTTTTGAGGCAGTCCATTCATTTCGTTCCAGTTATGACTGAATATGAATCCACTTTACAACGTGCTTAGGAGGCTGACTATTACGCACTAATGCGCAACCAGTTCGAAAAACAAATTGGTTTGTTTGCGATACAACTGCAGCTGCTAATACACAGTCATCCGAATTATCCCAACGCCTCGAAGTGTTGCGAAACACAATCTAACAATGTTTTTTTTATAGAACAAAATTATGCGTTCACATGCTTCTGCGTTAACAGTACAGCTATAAAGCACAAAGTAAATGTGGA